AAAATGAAAGGTAGCAGAAGAAGAAAATATCTTATTATATCTGCCCCTATTTAAAAAATATTAACTATAATAATAATACTTTCAAACAATAACAAAACCAAAAAACTTCAGCTCCTAAACAGCAGCTCTTATAAACACAAACCATAGAATTTCATATTTTTGCTTCATTTTTTAATAACCTGAATGCTTTTGTGTTCGCAGCCATCGACTTGATCAACAACCTGCTGCAAGTTAAGATGAGGAAACGCTACAGCGTCGACAAAAGCCTCAGTCATTCTTATTTACAGGTGGGATTTAAAAAAAAGCAACAAACAAACAAACAAACAAAACTATTTACCAGGGGTGTCAAACTCATTTTGACCGAGGGCCACATTATCACAATCATAAWTGAGCCAGAAAAGAGTAGCATGCCTCGGGCACCTGGTTAGGATGCCTCCTGGACGCCTCCKTGGTGAAGTGTTCTGGGCYCGTCCCACTGGGAGGAGACCCAGAGGAAGACCCAGGACACGCTGGAGGGGCTGTTTCTGGCCTGGGAACACCTTGGGATTCCACCAGAGGAGCTGGCCRAAGTGGCTGGGGAGAGGGAAGTCTGGGTCTCTCTYCTTAGACTGCTGCCCCCGCGACCCAACCCTTTATGGTGGCRCTTAATGGGCCAGWTGTAATTACCTTTCATGTTTCACGTATAACTTGGACTCAAAAGGAAATATTACGRTCCTCGTCTCATTGCTATGGCTGAGAACCACTAACAAACACTAACTGAGCTTTATGTGGTTTGTTGTCCATAGAAATAGTGTTTACACGCCCTCTTATAAACACTGAAAAGTACTACATGTACGACTGACTAAATGTGACATAAATAATACAGAGATACTATRAAARGTATAAGTACGAGAGTTSTACTCACTGTTGAGTTGTGGTGAGTAGCTTTCATCTTAAATTCTGAACTCTCCCACTTTRCTACAGAGAATTCCCACTGGAGGGGTGTTCKAGTTTGAATTCATGACTTGTAAGGGGGAAATTTCCACTTCCCAGTACCACTGGGCTGCAGCAAAAGTAGCCAGCAAAAACGCAGCTAAATGTAGATTTTACATGGTGAATTTCACCAACTGCTGGCTGTGCACCTCCTCCTAGTGGTACGAGGCTGTCATCTTGCATTTAATAGACATGCATTAACGGGAGATGTAGTTTATGGTCAATGCTGGCTTATTTTGAAACAGGGCTATGCAACTAAATTTCTCAGGGGGCCACAGTTGTGCCGGAGAAGTGCTATTATCTTTCACTTTTTAAATGTGTTTACTTAGTTGCATTAAATCATACATTTAAAGATGATGATTTTAATTATTTAAAATCAATTTGTTCGATCTATTATATAAAAATTTAAGAAAAATGAAATCATTGTTTAAAACAGAAAGATCCTTATTTTTTTCACTCACTGCCATGTGCCTTGAAGTGAAACAGTAAAGCATTCTACATAAATACATACATACATACATACATATATACATACATTCATTCATACATACATACATACATACATACATACATACATACATACATACATACAGCGGGTAAAATAAGTATTGAACACGTCACCATTTTTCTCAGTAAATATATTACTAGAGGTGCTAATGACATGAAATTTTCACCAGATGTCGGTAACAACCCAAGTGATCCATACATACAAAGAAATCAAACCATAAATGTCCAGAAATGAAGTTATTTGTAATAATGTGGAATGGCACAGGYAAAAAGTATTGAACACATGAAGAAAGGGAGGTGTAAAAAGGCATGGAAAGCCAAYACACCAGCTGAACTCTCTCAGTAATTAGAAAGCAAGCCTGCCCCTTGTCAGTGCAAGTTAATATCAGCTGGTTCAGTCCCAAATGATGGCCAGGTATCACACAAGAACCATCTGATGATGGGTAAACATAAAGAGCTCTCTCAAGACCTTCACAACCTTATTGTTGCAAAGCATAATGATGGCATCYGTTACAGAAGAATGTCTAAACTTCTGAAGGTTCCAGTGAGCACTGTTGGGGCCATAATTCAGAAGTGGAAAGAACATCATTTCACCATAAACCGACCACGACCAGGTGCCACATTATTACAAATAACTTCATTTCTGGACATTTATGGTTTGATTTCTTTGTATGTATGGATCACTTGGGTTGTTACCGACATCTGGTGAAAATTTCATGTCATTAGCACCTCTAGTAATATACAGTATTTACTGAGAAAAATGTTGACGTGTTCAATACCTATTTTACCCGCTGTACATTCATAAGAGGGGGGCCTCTTTGGTGGGCAGGATGGAAGTCACCTGGGCTTTGAGTTTGACATAGTTTTCTATTCTTAAACACACACGCTGTTCATAAATATTTATGATATAAGGAAAAGATATGGTTTACCCTTTGCTTGGGTGTTTTCTCATCCTCCCAGTATGACCTACTTCTGCAGTAACAGGGTAAAGATACAGTATATTACACTCCCCACAGACTTTTAGAAACACTTTAACATTTTGAAATCACCTCATAAATTCTGTACTTGTTTTTTAAAAAAATGGCAGTTTTGAACCCAAAGAGTCTGCGGCGGTGTCACAGGCATGAGCGATGAGGTAAAGGTTGACATGTWTGAATTATAAATTATAGATGAGGATAGAAGAGTAGCTGTTAGAATTATGGGTTTTTGACCGTGTAGGTTTTAACCCTCTGCTTTGTTGCTAGAATGTCATGCTTTAATTAATCTTTCATGATAACCCCTAACTGGATGAAAATGTCATTTATAATTTCAGGGTTATTCCATCTSTTTTTTCTTTTTTCTTTTTGTGCTTCACTCATGCAGATAAACACACACTCACACACACTCAACCAAAAGTAATTACTGGATGGTTCATTATTGACCTGTCAAAACTGTAAAAGCCCCATTTAACATCAATCTAATTTCAAGGCACCGGAAAGTGAAATTTCATCCTTTTGTTTGCTCCTCACTTTTCCAGGACTACCAGACGTGGCTGGATCTGCGGGAGCTGGAGACCAAACTGGGTGGGCGGTACATAACCCACGAGAGCGACGACAGCCGCTGGCAGACGTACGCCCGGCAGCACAGTCTGCCGTACCCTCCTCACCTCGTGCCCCCCCCACCGGCGTCGGCCTCGGACGACGAGAACGGGGATTCGGATATGCAAGGGCTCGCCGAGAGGGTCAGCATCCTCTGACCGCGGACAGACAGAGAGGAACACGGGACTCGCTTGAAAGGGACACAGAAGATGCTTTGCAAATCACGTGGTTCTTGTGAGGATAAAAGTGTCCTGCTGTTCTGCTTTTCTCCACGCTCACTTTGTGTCTCTTCACGTTTCTCCCTTCAAACCAGGTGTTCTTCAGTGTCTCTTTTTAATCGTGTCACCTCTGCTGTTACTGGCTCTCTTTCGTCTTTTGAAGTTCTGGCTTCTTTTTTATTGAGAAAACTGCCCCGGTTCTATGATAAACTCCAGGTTTTGGGATTGACCTGGCAAGTCTTTATAACAGACAAAAGCTGGAGTCCAGCTTTACTTGAATAACAGCATGATCGTTACTATTTTCCCCCCATTTACTGCCATGTGCCTTGAAGTGAAGTGAAACAGGAAAGAGCATTTTACCACAAGCCAAGTTCTGAGTTACACACAAGTAGGTTAAAATAAAAGGAAGCTGCAGGTAGACCAATTAGAACATAATATATACCTTGAATAAATAACTATTTTTATTCCCTCTTTCAGTCATGTTTTTTTCTGCATCAACAAAAGACTTTCCTTGATGGTAATTATTACTAAAGTGAGTTCATGCTTACAAAGGTATCAAAAAATTCTTATAAACTCACATCCTGGATTTATTGAACTGGCAAAAGCTTATTTACAGTAATTGCTGCCAGTTTGAAACCACAATCCCTGAACATGCGAAATTACAGATGCCGCTGTGGGTTTAAATGAACTCTAGAAACAGACCTTCATTACCGGACATCCCCCCCC